CTCCCGATGGGGAAACCGAATACGAATCCCGATAACTCAAATGTTCTAAAAATAAATTTCTTTAAATAAAATCAAGAATTTTATTATTATCTTCAGCAATCGTGGGGATGGGAGTGATAGGGCTGCAGAGAGCAGTGGTGGGGGACTTGGTGACTAATCCGATGAAACTGTCACTTCTTGAAGCTAATCTTTTTCGTATTTCCTTCATTATCTTTTCGCACTTTACATATGATACCATCTAAATATGTACATTGATAATCTACATATCTACATTGAACCTACATTAATTCAATGATGTGCGGAGAGCTCATTCCGAATGATCAGCAATGCAAGAAAATTTGTTTTCATTGAAGGAAGTATCGCAACACAGGTAATTGCTATTAAATGTTTTTGCAGACAGTGACAGATGGTGAACATGTTGATCCAGTTAAGCTGTTATATAGTACCATTCGTAAACAACAAAGAATCAGCCAGTCTGAAAATATTGAAAAATATTTCAGCGAAACAGATAGGGAATCGATCGGACTTGTAGGTGGCCAGTTGGACCGAGAAAAATAGTTAGAGGCTTATGGTCTGAAGATTCTCGGAAAACCCCGTGTATGATCAATTCTTGAAAGACAGCCAGCCAGATTTTGCGAATAAAATTACATCCATTGATGTAATATTGTATCTGCTTTTTGCTATTACATCATTATTTCATACATCAGCTTGAATTACATTGATCGATATTACATTTTTTTTTCTGTGTTGAGCCATAAGTGATTTAATTAATTCGCTGATTGCAACTCTCTGAAAATTAAATGCACAGGTTTTTAACGTCAAACTCATCCTTTGCAACGTCCTCTTGTAACTTAAAAATACAAAATGTCATCATAACGTATAATGACTTCATAATTCCGAAAAAGCAAGTGTGGTTCGCAATCAGGGAAAGACTGAGATTTAAGAAAGTACAATTCTAATGTAAATTCTGCATTATCTAATTACTATTTCTTCGAACTTTTAAGCAGTTTGGATAACAATTTGGCCAACGTATAAGATACTTAACTTTTGCTGGTCCGACGTCCCTCAAGATTTGACCTGTATAACAAGTTGCGCCAACTAACGCGGTCCCTGGCTGCTTGTCTCCTATTTCTCGAGCGTCCCACACTTCCTACATCTTGCTCCACTTGGTCTAACCACCTAGCACGCTGTGCTTTTCTGCGTCTTGTACCGGCCGGATTTGAGGAAAACACCATTTTAGCGGGATTGTTGTCCGGCATTCTTACAACGTGTCCCGCCCATTGTACCCTTCCACCTTTAGCGACTTTCTGGATATTGGGTTCGCCATAAAGTTACGCCAGTTCGTGGTTCATTCCTAAATAGAGCTGGAACTAGGGCATAACAGCTTTTGTAATCAATTACTTCTCTCGATGATTTCTCGGATGTCATGGCTCTCCGAGGCGAATCGACATCACCATCGATTAGAGGAAGACTTCTACTATCCGATGGATATGTTGGTTTGTGTAGGCGTGCCTTGAATTCCGAGAAATCAACAAGAGAAGTCATTGTTTACAAAGGCTGTTACGCCCTAATTCCAGCTCTATCTAGATTCTTCTACTCCATACACCATTTTCATATACCCTGCCAAAGATGGTCCTAAGCACGCGTCGTTCGAAAACTCCCAGTGCTTCTCGAGCATTGTCCATTGTCATATTTTTCATGCACAATAATTTTGTTTATTATATATTTGCAGTCCGTTTGCAGCAATTTTTTGGGCGATCCGTGAAGGGGAAGGCTTGCCACTTGTATATCCGAACAGTGGACCAAACAAGCCAGCAACCCCGTCCAAAGTGTCATGCATTATTGACAAATTGGCACAGCGGGTCGATTTAAAGGGAGATCTGGAGGCGCAGCGATCACATTGTCATGATTGTCTGGTAGTTCACTCAAAAATGCTATAACAATCGCCAAGCTCGCTGTAATGTCACCAAGTGCCTCGTCACCTACAAATTGGCGCCTATGTCAGTGGTCTAACAACTCTTAGCGCGCTAATGGCATAGTTCCCCTGCCGCATAGAGAGTTGCCACAATGATATTAGGTTAGCTAAGGTCAGTTAACTGACTGGTGGGAAACGGGAGCTTCAGCATTGACTATTATGTACGCATTTTTATGATGTTATCTAACAATAATGGTGTGTAGTGTTTACACGATCATGTTTCTAATTCTAATGTGTTGTAAATATAATTGAAAGCATTTGAAAAGTAAGATTCTAGTGTTTTGTATATCTAAAAACATAAGTAAACATCTACATTTGAAAACATTCAAACAACGTTTACTTTAAACGTTTTGTACATCTGAAAACATCAGAGAACAACAAACACGAAGTACAATTGAAAACATCCGAGCAACGTTTAGTTCTAACGTTGTGTACATCCGAAAACATCCAAAAAACGTTTGGTTCTAGCATCGGGAAACATCTACGTTAGAAAACATCAGAATACATTTACATATAAAAACATCCGAACAACGTTTAGTTCTAACGTTTTTTACATCCGAAAACAACCGAAAAACGTTTGATTCTAACATCAGGAAACCTCTACATTAGAAAACATCAGAAAACGTTTACATTTAAAAACATCCGAACAACGTTTAGTTCTAACGTTATGTACATCAGAAAACATCCTTAAAACGTTTGGTTCTAATGTCAATAGATTGAAATTTTTGACGTCAGACCGACATTAGAATGGCAAAATTTTGTTCCAAAATTTCTGATGTATACACCATGTTACGTTGCTTAAATACAACTAAATCATAATGTTTTCTAATGTTTGACATCAGGTATACATTTGATTACGATGCTGATGTAGACATCAGAATCAAACGTTGGGCTAATGTAAATTTCGATTCGGGAATGCATCGCGGGTTCTGGTGGCGGATTCAATGCTCTCAAACTCAACCATAGCTTGGACTCCATATACGTTGAAATTGTCCGTTGGGTGAGCAGGTGGTGTATAGAACGTCCACTGTAATAGGATAGACGGGATTTATGATGCTGAACAGCAGGATATGGTTGATCCGCGTTGCTACCTCGCGCTTTCGCCGATGCTCATCTGTTTCGTTGATGTTGTTGTTGTTCCGGCTATTGAGCGGAACCGTCTCGATCATATCCTGGCCGGTACAGATGCGCTCGTTGTGCGGCCCGTCCTGGCCACCGCCGACACCGTTTCCGTTGAACGCCATGTTCATTGGAATTGAGTTTTGTTTACTAGCACACCCGGGCGAACAAAGATGAGGGAAGTGTTGAGACAGCCTACGATAACTGCTGTTGAAAAATCTGAAATTTTTCCTCACTCAACGTAGACTCGTACTAGGTGAAACCATAGAGGTAACTCTAATAGTACGTTCAGACTACAGAGTTATAACATGTTATAGCGCTATCTTGATGGTGGTTTCTGTGTTGCAATTATTTGACAACCGTTATAACATGTTATAACTCTCCAGTCTGGACAGCGTTTAATAGTACGTTCAGACTACAGAGTTATAACATGTTATAGTGTTATCTTGATGGTGGTCTCTGTGTTGCAATTATTTGACAACCGTTATAACATGTTATAACTCTCCAGTCTGGACAGCGTGTAAGACTAGAAGGTCCCGAAATAACGTGCTCAACTTTTTGGCTCAGCTCTGGTACTCTTTTCGGTCCCAAGCTAAGCTAAAGTGAGAATCGTGACTTATATCTAGACTAACATTTGAAAGGGGCCTAAGAGCCAAAATGTAAACAAACCATATTTTGCCACATATAGAGAGAATAGTTCACAAACTACTCGATAATCACGAAAAAGCAGAAGAAAATATCACTTCAAATCATCAAAAACGTTTCTTCTTACATGGCGTATTTCCAACTTTCAACTCTATGATGCATCTGGTTGTTACGCCTTGCACCAGAACTACGAATTATATCGTTTTAATATGCCAAACGTATTGATTCTGTAGTACCTAGTCACGTCCGATTCATTTGAAATGCATCCGATTGATAGTTCACGTGTAAACAACGAACAAAAAGAAGACCAAAAAATCTCCGGGCGTAATTCCACTCTCACAAAATTTGCGAACGAAGAACCAAGGCGGAACAACAAACAAAAAATCCCGATGGTGTACTTCCACGGCGTATCACCAGTGTTGGCAGTTCAAAGGGTGGAAGATCCGGGGGTAACAACATGCATGAAATTATCAGGGCGTATGATGTTTTCTTCTCAATTTCACGACAAAGAAAACTTTTTTTGAGTTTTTAGTGATGCTTGATGATAGATTACACTATTAACTATATGTCAAGCTTATAAAATCAACCAGAAAATGGAAAGTCGTGAAATAGGATTAATTTTTAGGTCAACAAAATTCAGAAGCGATTTTCTCGATATGGTCATTTTGGAATTACGCCCTTTTCAAATGTTAGTCTAGATATATTCTACAAACGATCCTTGTTCGCTCCGATTTCCAGAATAAAGCCCCTACTTTTTGAAAACTAGTGGCTCGGCTTCAGCGAAAATTACTCAACTCATAGTAAGTCATGTTTGCAACCAACGATTGTGGCCAAACATTGAAGATTATGTCAAAATTCACAGTGTTTATAATGGTGTAGAAAACAAATTAAAACTCTAATTAAAATGATGAACGATCAAAATCAGAAAACACCGGTAATACCTTGTCCTGCGGTAACTGATATCAGTAGTAGTATGTAGTCAGTCACAGCCTCTCTCCCCGGTTCTCTTTCTTATCAACACCCCCAACCGTTCCGGCAATGTATTGGTAGGAAAATATTGTCAATGTTGTTTTGACTGCGGCTTTTTTGGCTCGTCGGCGGCACCTGATTGGCGTGATATCGTACCATTTTTATAAACATAGCTGCATCCATAGTACCGCACTCTCGCACCAATACCAATGTGCAACCACCACAGAGTGGTTGTTTATACCATATTATTTAAGCTCCGGACGGTTCGTGCCGACCCAGTCGTCCGCAACAACTCAAGCAGTGAACATAACACAACACTAGTTTTAAATCTCTTTCGAGTTAGAAAAAAAAGCGAGAGACAAAGAGACTTGTATCTTTTCTTTACTCAACAAAGAACATCATAGGAAATATGTCTGCTTTTATGAATCTGCATTAGAAAATTTTGTTAAAGGTTCAACGCAAAAAAGGGGGTTTCGGTAAACAGGAAGTTAATTCGGGCAACAGAAGCGAAGCGCAATAGTTAAGAAAAAAAATCCGGGCTCAGGAAAAAAAAAGTGAATTCAGCTGCAATCGAATATCGGCTCCTTCTTGGAGGTTGTGTGTTAGTGTGCAAACGGGTGGCAGTGCGTGAAATAGATCAACAAACAAGAAGAAGAATCAGTGCTTGACGAAATATCGGACGATTTTCGGGGTGTTATTTTTGGTATAGTGCCACTGGTAAGGCGCACTAGAAGGGATCGGCCGAATTCAAACCAGGGAAGCGCCATGCCGCCATCACGCCTGGATGGACTATACCGCTCGCTGCTGTTGACCAAGTTCTTCTGCAAGGGCTGGGGCAAACCGGAAAATCTCGAAAGGTAAGTGTGACACTAGATAAGGAAAAATTCTAGAAGGTGCTATTTTCTGAAATTGGTCACACGTTGTTGACGAACACGTCAGTAAATTTTGGCCGAGTTGGAACCCAGCAGTGTTTACCTACAGAGAACCGGCATTTGCAGAAGCTTATCAACTTGTATTATCACCCGGGAGTGACCTAATAAGAGTAGCATGTACTCATCTGCTAACTGCTACGATGATCACGAGTGCGCTAGTACAATAGGTGCTAGTGAAATTAGAGGGCTTTGAACTCGGGTACTAAAAATAACTCACTTGGAACGAAACCAAACTCCAAGAGCCGCTATCTACGATGGCGGCAGAGACAAGTACCATTTAGTTATATAACAATTTTCTGGCTATGTGCCCTGTCAATCAATCATGCACAATAAAACAACATAACTAAACTAGCATATGTCATTTCGTTTCGCTGCAGACAGGAATCGATTCACCCTAGAATCTATTTTTGGGATCCCCTGCTGCAATGCATATTACACTCAATAGAAATTCCCTTTCTGTTTTCGCGTCAGCGAAGTTTCTCGATGTACAATATGTTTGTTTACAACATTCGCTGCTTCCGTTATGCCGTTGGCTTACTCGATTGCCAACTCGGTTCAAGGACAAACGCATTGTAGGCGTCGCCGCCTATATCCTTGAAGGCGTCAGTCGTAGACGATTTGGCAAAATCAAAACAACATTCTTGCACCACCAGCCAAGGGAGGTGTGTCGATCGATTAAACTTTGCTCTCTCGTTCATTTTTTTTTATCGAAAGAAAAAAAGTGAATCAGAACAAGAGCAATGCTGTTTGGGGATATGCACACAATGCACACCAGCTATCAAAACAAAATACGAGATGTCACCAATCCAAAGAACGCTCGGCTTTTGTAGGTGTGTTTGTAGTGGTGTATTGTTTGACTCTGTTCGTATGAGAGTATGATGAAAATAGTGAATTATAAAACAACAACGCTGGATTTTAGGAAAACAACTACCTGTCTGAGATCACGTATACACATTTCGGATCGATTTCTGATTCTTGTGCTGTAATGTTTGAAATTTAATAAAAATTACAATGTGTCTACTTTAAGATGCTTCACTACTTTTGAAAGCACAATGACGTAGAACATGGGACAGTCATGCGTATAACGGTATTTAATGCCTTGTTCAGATAGCAGAGTTATGACATGTTATAACTAACCGGTGGAAATTAACGATTTTAAATTGGCTCACTACTTGACTAGCCTATTGGTCCCAAGCAAATCGATTAACGTATCCCATTATAGATTTAGTAATTCTAGTACTACACTATGTTTGTTTTGATTCGCTATGAAAGTTTGACAGATAAAATGAGGGGTTCATGGATTTTTTATGTTTCGGGGGGTGCATCGATTAACTTGGGCCCAAAGCGAGTACTAGAACTGAGCCAAAAAGCCCATCTCCACTCATCGACTGTTGTATTTTCGAGAATTTCGCCGACCCGGTTGGCCACGAAAGGTCGATAGTTTCTCGGATCTGCGCAGATCCACGAAAGCACGACGGAGCTGTCCGTCCACAGAACTCGTCTTCTGATGGTAATGGAGTGGTTTGCTTGCACGAACTTCATAATTCTTGTTCCCAGGAGACATCCTTGAAGTACCAGCTTCAGTATAGTCATTGGCTTGAGTGGTGCTACTTTGGCCTTCGCAGCGATCAGTGTGCACTGGGGTGTGCCGTCAGCGGCGATTGTCCTTAGATACAGCGTACAGGAATACGCAAGCGGACTGGCATCTACGAAGACATGAAGTTCTGTAACTTCATACGAACGTGCCGACGCTTCTGGGAAATAGCAGCGAGGAATGCGAACGTTCGCGATGTACGAAATCATCTTGATCCACCTGCACCAGTCTCCATACTGATTTCCATCGACTTCTTCATCCTGCACCAGAATCTTGCCGTGGATCAGAAATGTGGCCAATACACCCAACGGGTCGAACAGAGTCATGACGCAGCGTAGCACTTGCCTCTTCGTTGGGATTCTGTCATTTTCCAGGAGAGATTGAACTTCATCGCTCATAAGTGTGCTGAACGATAGTTCGTCCGTTACTGGGTCCCACAACATCCCGAGCACACGTTCAGTAGTGGTGCTCGTAGTTATCAAGCTTTTACTGATAGCTGCTTGAGTCTCCCCAAGGTGCTCCAGAACACCCTCGTTGTTCGAGATCCAGTTCCTCAATTCGAACCCACCGAGTTGCTCTGCAATATCGTTCTCCATCAGAGTCAGCGATGATCCTTCGTCCACGAAAGCATACGTATTCAACTCACCAGTTTGCCCATAAAGCGTAACAGGCACGATCCGAAACAGAACGCTTGATCCGAGGTACTGATGAGTATGACTCTCTGCCTGTTCTGTTGGCGCAGTAGCTGCTGCAGTTCGCCTTGTTGAGAGCAGCAACGGATGATGGCGATACTGACAGCCATCGATATTGCAACGGTTGTTGCTTCTACACGACCGCCTTCCGTGACTGAATAGACAAATCTGACATAGCGACAAAGCTCTAACTTTTCGCCAGCGATCGTCGACATTCAAATTCTTGAACCCCGAGCACTCACGCAACCGATGCCCCATCTTACTGCAGAAGATGCATTCGATTCGCTTGCTTGCTACCAACGGCTGATCATCAACGGCATTCCCGGTGTGGGAATTAACGTACCCTCTCGGCTTTGGTTTGTCCTTGCTCCTGCTAGACTCCGGTTCGAACAGCACCACACTAGATGCATCACTGACGACGTTCTCCATGTATCTGCTGAATGTCTTCAGATTCACCACGCCAAGACTTCGCTTGTACCTGGCCCACATAAGCTTCTGGTCGGCTGGTAGCTTTCGGATAAGTTCCTGAAGAAGCATCGGATGCGACAGGTGTGCATGTTCGTTGGCTGCTTCGATATGGTCACAAAGGGCTTGCACTGCCATACCATATTCGATCAGCCCTTCCGACTTATCCGACTTTGGAGCGGGAATCTTCCGCACCTTTTCCAGTAACGCGTTAATCAACAGCTCCGGGCGTCCATATCGCATACGAAGTGCTTCGATTACCTGCGGTACCGCAACAGGCAATACCAACCTACTGCGCACCGTCTCGAGAGCGGGTCCTTTGAGGCACCGTTGTAGTCGGAGCATGTTCTTCCCGTGCGTGTACCCACACGACGCCGTCGTATACTCGTAGTTGGAGATGAACATAGGCCAATCCGCGGGATCACCCGAAAACTGTGGCAGATCGCGCGCCAACGATTGACGTGCGGCAAGCTGATGCAGTGACGGACCGTTCTGGTTTGCGTTCAATCGCTGCTGCTGCTGCCGATGATACCACTCCTCCAACGATGTAGGCTGTACGTTCATATTCGTTGTGCGCGCGAAGGCTTCACGCTGCTGTTCGTTGTTGGCGAAGGGGATGCGTTGCTGTTGGCGACCTTGATCGAGGGTAGCTATGTCGCGATCGTTTACATCCGCGGGCTGAGCGACTGCTCTTTCTCGTCGTTCGCGATTGCTTACCCGACTCCGGGATTCGATCGCCTTGTCCATCAGCTCCAACTGCTCGTCCAAAAATTTCTTCAGCAGTTCATGGTCCATTCGTTGTCGTTCGATCTCCTGGCATTGCTTCAACAGGGCGAGATTGCGTTGTACGTTGATTGTACAGCTGCTCGAAGAGATGTTTCCTGGTGGGGGTGGATTCGGTGGTGGTGATGCAGTGCAGTTCGAACACATCCACGCTCGGTCACTGACGGACTCCGTCACACCAGCACACGAAAAGTGCCACCACAGATCACACCCATCGCACTGCACATAATTTTCATCGGCATCTGGAATGTCGCAGGCTGCACAATCGTCGTGCTGTACCATATCCGGATCTCTTGCGGGAATCGGCAACTGCTCGATGATTTTTTGAAGATGTTGGTACGGCTAAATAAAAAGGCGCGGCACTGTTATTGAACAGCGTTTGTTTCCTTTTAGGATCGCAGTTAGGGTTAGTTTAGCAATGTAGGTTTAGATTTATAGGTTACCACTTACAAATCAGTGGCCCTTCCTTTACAGGCCTTTTCACTGGCTGTCCAACTTAGCTTTAGTCCTAGTTTTAGTGTTAAGGTAGAAATCAGTATAATTAGGTTTAAATTCACACTGTAGATTTAGCATTATTTATCGTACGCAACAATAGGAAACTAGATTAAGAAACGAACTATTTAGGCACTAGTTTAAGAAAAATATGTTTTACCCGCGAGATTCTTCGTCTGCTTGACTCAACGTCCCAGGACTCAACGGATGACGTCTTTTTTCAGTGACGTTTATGCTGTCGATCCCGTCGCACATAGACTGGCGGTCTGCCAGACACAGTTGATTGGACCGGTTGCCAGTTCGCCGGGTGCGTTAGCGAGTGTCCCTGTGGCAACACAAATTATATTGAATTTCTTTCCAGAAATCCTTTATTATTATCTCTAGAATTCCTCACAATTCTGCTCAACTTAATTGGCATTCTCGTCTCAATTCTCTAGCCAAAAAAAAACGGTCCAAACCAAGAGTTACGATTCATTTTTTAAATCTTGTATCTTAAAAATAGACTATAGTTGAAGTCAGAAATCTCACAACGTTCAAGAATGTAAAAAAACTGGTATTGCCTCAAAAATCGAAATCCTCAAAAGCAAAATAATCGAATTCATTTTGAGCAAGCTGATTATTTGTAATATTGTTGATCCCATGGCCTAAAATCTAGGTATTTCCATCAATTCAACAAAAGGCAATAATTTACCATCGATCTGTTTGTAACAATCAACACGACACGTTCTTTAGCGCTATTTTTGTGTGTAAAATGAAAATAATCATTTTGCATTTGATCCTCAAAATGATCCCCACCAAGATGAAGACGAATATTAATATTGACAACAACAGAGGCGATAATGAACATCCAGCTACGAATGAAGAAAAACAAATGTTGACTTCGATACTCAGAGATTGCCTTGATCGAGAGAATGCTGTTTTGTCAAATTTTGTCTTCATTTTCAGCTAAGTTGAGTGTAGAAGAAATTATTTTTATTAGCACTGCTCTCAACTTAGTGCACTGCCACAGTTGATTATTGAGAGCTTTCTAAGCGTATACCATTTTTTTGTATTAGTATAGTTGTTATACTCTGTGTATTGGGAAGTCGAGAAATGTTCCAACCCGATAAATTCCTATGCCGGACGGGACCGGGAATCGAACAAAGCCATCTCCAGCATGGTCTTGCTTTTTAGCTGTGCCTTTTTGTGCTTATTGCCAAAAGACTGATGTTGTTTGTCCCAGGACCCCTCATAGGGTGAGCATGTTACAAACAAGCTTGCTATTCTAACCTGACTTTCAAATTTGTCTTCTCATTGACCTGCACCATGTCTCGGTGTAGTGTCCATATCCAAACGAAGCAGCCTTTTGTCCTAATTGTCCTAATTCTTAATTTCTTTGGCGATTATCTTTGAAGGTAAGACTGTTTTATCCGTCTGAGCCTCCGCAGAGAGAACGGTCATTCGGACACAGTAACCACCACGGACAGTTTTACTTTTGACCGGCAGCAAACTTAAAAAAAAAATGCGAACCTTCTTTCAATATTTATGAATAAGTTAATCTACCTTGAATCCAGTAAAACACTAAGAACGAGCTCAACCGATTTGTATTGTCATGTGAAAGCGACCGATTAGATAACAAAAAATAAGTAGCGTACAGTTCATGAGCAGCATGCTGGTTCCCCGCAAAGGCCTTATCGCGCCTTGCACCGATAAGAAGAAAAAACGGAAACCCGCCTGAAATCAACACGCCATGCACCTCGCCAGCAGTCTTGATTGAGGGCAATTGCCGTCTCGTTAAGCTAACTCAGTCAATCAACCTTTTTTATGCGATCTGCCTGCGGAATCGCAACAAAAGGTCATTCTCTCAAAATAGCTCTCCTTCGACATTATCACAACATTCAACCCTTGTCCCACGTCTCCTTCCTTCCACAGACTGTTCGCCTTCCGGAAGATCATCTCCAACCGTGCCGCCTGCTCGAAGCTCGTCCCATCGGATTACCCGGTGGAAATCACCAAAGAAGAAGTAACCGCCGACTGCAAGATCCTCGAGGGGAAATTCGTAACTCCGCTGGAGATCTACCTACCCGGACTGGTACCGGATGTGGTGCAAAATGCGCACTTCCAGATACTGCTGCCGCACAAGTGGAACGACGACCGATTCAAGCCGATGTGCATCCATTTGGCCGGAACGGGGGATCATGTAAGTTGCGCTGATGGCGCGTTATCTTTTCCTAACAGTTCAAATTTAATACCTACTGCGTTTCATTTCCATGTTGCAGTACTATTGGAAGCGACGCAATCTAATCGCCAAGCCGCTGTTGAAGGAAGCCAATCTCGGTGCTATTATTCTGGAAAATCCATTCTACGGGGCGCGTAAACCCAAGGATCAAAAGTGAGTAGCTAATCGGCAACGTGTTACTTTTCGTATTTCTAATGAATTATTAATCTCATTTCAGGGCCTCCAGCCTGCACAACGTCTCGGACATCTTCGTCATGGGCGGCTGTCTGGTGCTGGAGTCGCTGGTCCTGCTTAACTGGTGCGAACGTAACGGCTACGGTCCGCTCGGAATCACCGGCCTCTCAATGGGTGGTCACATGGCCTCCCTTGCTGCCACCAACTGGCCAAAACCTCTGGTTCTGGTGCCCTGTCTCAGCTGGTCCACGGCATCGTCCGTATTTACCGAAGGCGTCATGAGCCACTCGATTAACTGGGACGTACTGGAAACGCAATACTTCGCCGACGGTAACTACCGGGAGCGGCTCTCTAAGATGGTCACCGTCGTGGACGATGCTTTCGTGGCCGGTCAGAGTTTCATCAAGAACTTCAACCAATCAGTCGAAGAACTCAAGCAGGATATTTCCCACGTGGACGACTTGGTCAGCGAAGATGCTTGCCCGGACGTCAACTTAACGGTCATCCGTGACACCACACCGGAACAGGAGCAGAAACGCATTCACATCAATCGACAGAATGTCCTCAATCTTTCTGAACCTCTCCTGAACAAGCTGCTCTCGGACGTTAAATGCGAACTGACCCAATCGGAAATCGACGAGCTTAATCTCAAAATACAATTGGCCCTCAAAAACTACAAAGAGGAAAACAAGACTGACAGCGACAAGCTGATTCTGGAAGTGAAGGCTGAAGAATTGTCGGAACCCCTACCCTCCAAATCGTTGGGAACCAAAATCATGGAGTTCATCAGCTGGAGCAGCAACGGCAGTGGCAACGAAAACCCCACCAAACATGCCACCGAAGTCGCTCCGCTAGAGAAGCGGGAACCGATCGATACGTCCAAGACCCGCTGGTGGAAACGAGAAGCCCTGCAGTTTATGCGCGGAATGATGGACGAGTGTACCCATCTCAAAAACTTCACCGTCCCGTACGACACCTCGCTGATTATTGCCGTTTGTGCCAAGGACGATGCGTACATTCCACGGGACAGCTGTACTAGTTTGGAGGACATTTGGCCGGGAGCGGAAATTCGCTACCTAGATGCCGGACACGTCAGCGCCTACGTGCTGCACCAGAAGCTGTTCCGGTCGTGCATTATCGAAGCATTTGAACGGGCACGCAGCAAGTGGATTCCGGAGCACGAGCGAATCCAGGAAGTTACCACCAATAGTAACGGGGATGGGAACAAATAAGGTACTAATCAATCGGAAACCGGGAACCAAATAACCCCCGAGGGAATGGCTGTGACCAATGGGGAAGCTTTTACATTGAACCAAATCAAAACAGAGAAAACCTTTCCGGAATAGACGCAACCCAGGCGCCAACGAGACTGTGACCAAGGCAGTGACGCAACTTCCGGTCACGTGGATATTCCGGAATTGGAAGACATTGACATTGTAATTATTAATTATGAATCGAAACTTGGAACGAAGAAGCGCTTCGTGGATACTTCCGGACCGGAAGTAAACTACTGCGAGGCGTCGGAGCGAAGTCAGTATTTAAGTCAGACGAATGCGGAGAAATTTATTGCTGTGTGAATAACTTGCACGTTTATACATCGTTACGATCAGTTCAAAATGCTTTGTACAATTTATATTTTATGTTAGAAATAAAAATAACGAATGCTTTTAGGTAGCACTAGCGCTACTGGAATTTTGCGTGGCTGTTCGATTATTTGGCAAAGAAAATGTTTTTCACTCACCTCTTTTGAGTTATCGTAATGTTTAGCCACCATAACCATCTTTCGTCTTGACGATTGATAAGAAATATGTTTCTTTCTGTCGATATTTCATAGTTCTTCCATCAAACACAACACATTTAAATAATCACGATTAAATCACGATAAAGTAAATTAAATTATTATTATTATTTTTTTTGCTGCTCCTCTTTTCCCTGGCTTAGAGCAACCGTAACGGTCGTTGTCATTTGCGCGACTATTTTAACAGCGCACAGCGCTCTAATTTTAGTTTAGGCACTCTTCTCCACACCGGTCGCTGCTATCGTGGTTATCAATTTACTCACCTTTGTCCGTACCGGTAGTGAGCATTTTGACATTTCTACGAATAGCAACCTTTCTCCCGCGCTGCTAAATTTGGTAGCGCGGGAGAAAGGTTGCTATTCGTAGAAATGTCAAAATGCTCACTACCGGTACGGACAAAGGTGAGTAAATTGATAACCACGATAGCAGCGACCGGTGTGGAGAAGAGTGCCTAAACTAAAATTAGAGCGCTGTGCGCTGTTAAAATAGTCGCGCAAATGACAACGACCGTTACGGTTGCTCTTAGACCGTGTGACCAACAATCAATACGAAACTAACGATTTTAAATTGGCTCACCACTTTAGTAGCCTATTGGTCCCAAGCAAACGATTAACGTACCCTATTCTAGTTGAAATTCTATTACTACACTATGTTTGTTTTGATTCGCTATGAAAGTTTGACAGATAACATCAGGGGTGTGTGGATTCACACTGTAACTGGCAAGTACCCATTAATGGGTGAAAAAGTGCCCAATTCGAAGTAAAGTAGGTAAACTCATAAAATGGGTAAAACGTCTTTACCCATTATTGGGTAAAGACGTTTTACCCATTTTATGAGTTTACCTACTTTACTTCGAATTGGGCACTTTTTCACCCATTAATGGGTACTTGCCAGTTACAGTGTGAATCCACACACCCCTGATGTTATCTGTCAAACTTTCATAGCGAATCAAAACAAACATAGTGTAGTAATAGAATTTCAACTAGAATAGGGTACTTTAATCGTTTGCTTGGGACCAATAGGCTACTAAAGTGGTGAGCCAATTTAAAATCGTTAGTTTCGTATTGATTGTTGATGTATTCGTACACCGCAAAAAAAATGTAATATCGATCAAAGCAATTCAAGCTGATGAAATAATGATGTAATAGCAAAAAGCAGGTACAATATTACATCAATGGATGTAATTTTGTTCGGAAAATCGAACAACGTTTAGTTCTAACGTTTTGTACATCCGAAAACATCCTTAAAACGTTTG